GGGGGGGGGGGGGGGGGGGGGGCTTCCGAGTGTCCAGACTATTCAGCCAGGATTGCTTTTCAGATGGATCCTCCCCAAGACCCCTCAGGCCACGGAAAGACCAGTCACCCCTCTCTGCCTGCCCTCACGGAGCAGAACCCCTTCCAGGCAGCCTCCCCTCTCTGCTCTCCAGCCCGGCCCTGGCCCCACTCCACTGGCCCAGGTAGGCCCCTTCTCCGGAACCCTGACCCTGTCCTCACTGCCTGTCTCAGCCTTGCTCAGGATGCTCTCCGCCAGAGGGGGAGGCTCAGCCACAGACCCAACCACATCTGAAATAAACACTTAGTTCCCAACAGGAGGAGGAGCCCAGCTGGGACCCCCCTCCCCACTTCCTCAACCACTGAGATGAATGGGGAGGGGGAAGGGGCACTCAGGCAGATGTCAGTTCTCATTTAACCTGCCCCCTAGGCTGGGCATTCTCCTGGTGCATCCTGGGCACGGAGGATGCAAAGATAGAAAAAGCCTTTCGTGAGAGCCAGATCCAACCCCACACAAGCCACCTTTGCTGGTGTCCAACAGACGCCCAGCGTGGGCCCAGGGAGCAAGGAGCAGGGAGTGACCTGGCAGTAGCTGAGGTGGAGGTGCCCTCCCCTCGGTGCTGGGGCGACAGCCCAGGCAGGAGCGGTGCAGAGCTGCGAGGAGCAGAGGCCATGATGGGCACTCTGTCCAGCTCCACGGAGCCCAGCACCCACCCGCCCCAGCTGGATGCCTGCAGCCCACTGCGGACCCTGCTCAGAGCCGTGGCCTCCGGTCCCCATCCTGGTCCTCAGGGGTCCGCTCACCTGCGTGAGTCCAGGCCCCAGAGAGACGGCAGGAGCGGCCGGATAAGGGACATGCTTGGGCCAGGCACCGAGCACCAGGAGCAGGAGACTGCCCTGGACCCGGACCTTGTGGCAGAGCCTACTGCCCCCTGCCCCATGGACCCCTCTATGGGGAGGAATCCCGTGGGCGTGTGGCCGGGGATGTGGGAGGGGCTGCCTTTTAGAGCTTTTCCATAAACAGGGTCCCCAGCAGCTGGAAGGGGCAGGAGCCAGGAAATGCTCATGTGAGCCCAGCTGAGTCCCGAGCTGAGAGATGGGCATGGGGGCTGGAAAGCTGCTTCTAGAAACTGGAGAGTCCAGCCAAGGCCCAAGAGAAGCAGGCCTTTCCCCTCCTGCGTGTTTGGACCTGCAGTGGCCAAGGGGGGCCCATCTGGGGACACCAAGAGCCCCCGCTGCTGGGACTGGCCTCCGGGGGCATCGGCTTCTCCTCCACGTGGTCCGGGGTGCCTAGAAGCCTAGTGACCGCTGCCAGGGCCCCCTTGCCCAGGCCTCCGGCACGTCAGAGGGTATTGTTGTTCCCCAACCACCCATGGCTGAGCGCGGCTCACACGTTTCCGGGGACCAGTCCAGGGCGTTAGACTGGATTCCTGACATGCTGTCAGCACAGGGGACGCTCGCTGCCTCCCGGAAGGGATTAGACTCGGCCCGGGGCCTGGGCCCTGCGGTTGGGAGAACAGGCCACTGTGTCCGTGGGAGCCTCGCGTCCCGGGCCTGTGGAGAGGGGAGGGCCACCTGCCAGCCAGGGGGAGCGGGAGGGTGTCCGGAGCCGCCAGATTTCTCCTGGCTTCTCGCCACAGAGAAACCCACGTGTAGCTGGTGTGCCGCTCCTGCCATTGCTAAATGGACCCGGAGTGGGACTTGGCCGTGGCCCAAAAGCTTCCGTGCGGCTTGTGATGGGCCAAGGGGAAGCGGTGCGGGCCATTCTGAAGCCCTGTGCCTAGGGATTGCCCAGCTCTGGGCAGGGTGAACCTGAGAGTCCCTCCTTGACCAGGTGCCCAGGCCCAGGGGGAAGCGGGTGGCCGAGGAGCGGGGCCTCCAGGGTCCCATCCACCCTGGCGCCCTCGGAGTCAGCCTGTGCCCACACAGGAGTCTACCCCGCACCCCTCACCCAGCCCCAGTGCTGCCAGCTGTGCGAGGCGGTGCCTGCTGAGCGGACCCTGTCCCAAAAGCCCTGCTGACTCTGAGGCGGTGGCACAGCTTTCCCCTCTCACCCCGCCCGCCCGCAGGGCCCCTGCCTTCCTGAGGCAGAAGCAAGAAGCACCCTCGGCCGGTCCCCTGCCCTCCAGTCCAACCAGCCCAGCACTGAGTCTGCCCCGGTGGCGGCCATGACTGTCCTGGGACCCCTGCTGTTTCCCAAAGGGGTCCCCGTACATGGAGGGCAAGGAGAGGGCAAGGAAAGAGGCCACTCCAGGTGGGCAGGTGCAGTTAGTCGGCAAGGGAACTCACCGGGCTGGTCTTGGGCACGGAAGACAAGTAGCTCCACAGTCGCCGCCAGAATCTTATTTATAGAGAGGCCTTCACGGGGCTCAGGCACATACACATCAGAGGGTCAGTAACACAGGGCACTCAGGGCTGCACTGACGGGGAGAGGAGTGGGCAGGGATCACAGCATGTGAGGGGTGGGCAGGGATCACAGGGGGTGAGGGGTGGCTGCTGGTT